GGTGAGGTGGTGCGGGAGGGGGAGGTAGGAAGTACCGGGAAATAAAAAAAACCAAGAGTCTCGCATGTTGCCTCTTTGTACTATAGAAACTGGGGGTGTGCCTGAATATCCAAACCACCTACACCCCAGGGATGCCACCCAATGGCTGGCTGTGTGCTTTGCAGAACTCCTCCCCTCCCGTTTTGGCTAAGCAGAGACCTTAAGAGAAACTGCCTGTTCTGGCTCATACAGACTGTAACATATAAAAGCTGTTAGCAGCTCCTGTGGCCAGAAGCTCCAAAACCAGCAGAGTTTTGTTCTTTGGGGGTTTGTAATAAGAGACACTCCTTCACAAAGGTTCTTATCATCACATAGGAGAGTGCTATATATACTGGGAGAACAATAGGCTGTATTCTTTTTTGGTATTATCCAGAGGTAAGCCATTCAGCTCAGTAAGTTTGCTTTGCATGCACTTTTATCAATGCTCATCACAGTTTGCTGAAGTTAAGATTTGAATGCTATTTCTAAGATGTCCTGCTTTCATGGTTTAGACGTTGTCTTTTGCCTACTAGTTTATCTGTGCCACATTGTGTCAAGAAAATCTGTGCATATGGGATAGGCATAGCCTAGGATGTATTTTTCGTTTGCAGTGGAAAACATTCTGTGAGGTTTCTTGCAGTCTCCCCAGTTAAGATTTATAGTGTGGTTTATGGACAGATCTGGTGTGATAGCACCGTCGCTATTTCAGGAATACTGCTAGCTCTGATCATGTAATTCATGGTATAATGATGCTTTATTTGGTGCGTTTGTAGTAAGGACATATTATCTCTTAATGATAATATGGTGATTGAAAATTGCTCAGTAACACATGTTCTGACTGGATTGTTTTTATGATTGTGCTGACAGACAGAATCATTTTTCTGACACAGCCTGCCAATTCACTTTGCCTTGCTACCCGGATGTACAGAATCACATCTTTGACATCTTTTCTTCTACAGATCTGTTTTCTACCGCCCTGACTTAAAGCAGAGTATCTCTGTGGCCTATCTTTCTCCTTTGGCCCCAAAATGACAGTAATCGCTGCAGTCAGTTGTGCTTTCTTATTTTCCATTCTCTGTGAAACAAGTGCATTAGTGTTACCCAACTCCACTGACCTACTCCTGTCAAACAACAATTTCACTGACATTGAGACGGCTTTGGCAGCTCATCTGGACTCTGCAAAAATTCCCAAAGCCAGGCGGAAGCGCTACATTTCGCAGAATGACATGATTGCCATTCTTGATTATCATAATCAAGTCAGAGGCAAAGTCTTCCCACCTGCTTCCAACATGGAATATATGGTAAGTGAACTTTGTTTATTTCAGAGTAAACCAAACTGTAAGTCAGTGATTTCATTTTCTTAAACAAATTGTGAAGGTTTAGTGGAGTAGACAAATTATTAACTATTATTACTTACTGCAATGTTCTTTCCTTACATCTTTTAAGTTGCATTAACTTAAGCAAGCAAAAGCTAAATACTGAATTCTGAGTCTCTTACCTGCCCTGCTGGATTTTCATTTCCATGAGGAGTCCCAATGAAGCTTCTTTATGCAAGTAAATGAATCTGTGAGTTAACTGCTTGTTGGCCTGAAGAATAGTATGTGATCACACCATGGGATTGCATGTGTTTAAAGTGCTATTCATTAGTAGCCCCATCGCTTTTGTGGAGTACACTGAATGTCATTGCCCTGATGTATGCAGAAAGGTAGCCAGTGAACATTTCTAATTTCTTTCACACATAGTACTTTCGGATACAAGATGGTAAAACAGTATTTGCAAAATAATTAAACTGATGCACTGTCTCATGCTCACGTGTTTTGCTTACTGTATATTGTTTGTGTGCACCTAATACTTTTATTTTTTCCATCAAATATAATGCTCCTTTTAAACGTTTCTCCAGTATGTAGAATTGCAACATGCTCAAAATGTTATGTTTGTGGCAGGCACCTTTTCCCCTCATTGGCAAATACTCATTATGTGAATTATCTGTTCCTGCAGGTATGATAGAAGTTATTCATTCACTGTGATTTCATACTTGGCACTACTAGCTAAAGCAGCGTGTTTGCTATTTTGCTTTCCAACTTTGAATGCATGCATACTGTGCACCTCTAATGTTAAACATAGGTTGACCAAGCAAAAAAATTTTTACCTTCAAAGTAAGGTATTCACATTGTTTTGAAAGCACAGACAAGTTGTGTCAGCAGCATAATATCTGCTTAAAGTCACAGAGTTTCTCGTGTGACAACAGACGGTTAACAGGTTTGAGAAACAGGACACCATCAGCTTGACATAAAAAGGGGATAATAGCAATAACAACTCCTCCTTTTTAGCAGCTAATGACTAACAATTTGGACATCTTTCTATCACAGATGTTACCTAAATCTGGATTTGATCATATAATCTGCTTAGCACATCCCATCAGCACCTCAAAATGCTGAGTGTTCTCAGAATGTTGCAGGTTGAAGGCCTGTTGCCATGCCATAGGCTGAGTTTGAAGTTTGCTTAAGTGGAAAGGTCAGAGACAGAAAAAACAGAGAGGTCAGAAGTCAAGCTCAGTCATCATTTTCATTGCTGTGCTCTCCACTGACGTTTCCTTTGATTCTGCATAAATAAACTTTGTTGTAATGTCTGAGGGAATGGCAGCCTACCATGCCCTTCCTTGGCTTGTGTGTTTTACAAATGTGCTCCTGCAGTTTGCTTAAGTGAAGCCAGCACCCTGTCATACTCCCGAGAGCTTTGTAACTGCAGTGTTCTTAGCCTGTTCAGTGAAAAAACAACTTCAAAAGAGAAAGCAATCTTCCTTGATTAAATCTATTTTAATGCACTCATATGCATGAACTGCCAAGATTTTACCTATACTGGTTGGGTATTCTGCTGCAGCTTTGCTCTGCAACGGTACCGTGCAAGGTTTGATATAAAATCAAGACTGAACCTGGGCTCTGTACAGCTTACATGCTATTCTTTTCCTAGCCCTTCTTTCTATTGCTTTTACCAGTACCAACCAGCCATAGGATGTACCTGCGTTCCTGTCAGCATCAGCCCCATCAGCAGTCTCATGGGCAAGGCATAAGGCTTTCTTCTACTTTTGGTTTCCCCATCTGAAAGTCCTTTGTGACTTCATGCCATAGAATTCAGAGCAGCACCTCAAGCTACGTAGGTAGGTAGTGATCCAGAGCGCAACTTGAACTTGGATCCCCAAGTGGCGGCCAGCCCTTTTGCCCCCATTTCTCTTTCAGAATTCAGTCAGTCTGTGTGTGTCCCATGTAACTTCATAGAGCAAAAAAAGCCCAGTGAACAACATCACGCATAGCTTGCTCTGCTGTCTGGTTTGTAGCCACGGCATCATCTATTTATTAACTTCAACAAATTTATCATTATCAACTTTTTATCTTTGTGTCTACAGAAAGGCTTCGGTAGGCAGGTCTTGAAGATGACATGGTGGTGTAAGCCATACCAAAACTGGGGACCCCTGCATCAGTAATGCCCATTTGAACTTGCTTAGTCCATTCTTTGGTCTCTGTCTAATTTCAGTGTATGGTACAGCATCTGTTGTGTCTTCTGGGGATGTAAGTTTGACTCTGTTATATATAAAAGGTGTTGTGTCACTCACTACTCATTTTCATAAATAAGATAGCAAAAAAGCATTGTCATTACCAGCAGACAACGTACACTGTGCTGAAAGAATGTTACAGAGTGTCCTGAACTCTATGTAAACTGCAGTGGTAGTGATGAAAGTGGCCTTTCCCATTTCTCCTAACAATGACTAAAAAGGATGTCACCTGTCAGAGAGCTGGAATTACTTACAGATTCAGTAGACTGTGGAAGTCTCTTGTAAGTGTGTTGAAGTAGAGAAGGACTAAGAAGTTTGGAAGAACAAGAAAAAGATGTTTTCTCATCTTTTCTCTGTCCACAGTCATGGTGTTTTGTTCTATTTTACAAATTCTGTTAGGAATTCTGTTCTTCTCATGAATGGCTGTATCACGTTCTCACTTCTGTACAGTTCCATTTGCTTTTTCTCTTCTACTGACAAGAGCTTAGGGTTTAGCAGTAGGGGTTGGTACTTGTGATTCCTGTTCTCCACACCCAACCTTTTTTTCTGTTTTTCTCCTTGATACATTCTGCTCCTTCCCCTGATGCACTCTGCTATAGATACTCTGAGCTCCTTGGGTTTTTGTCTGCCCCTACTGTCTTGAAAGTTCATGTGCTGTAGGACTTTGGATAAGAGGTCTTGAAGAATGGCTTTGAATGAACACGTATTATGCAGGGGAGGTTTCAGACGAATGCTGAGGTAACAGAGCTGGGGGAGTGTTTTAATTCTCTTTTGGCGAGGTGGGTCTGAGTGCTGCTCCAGCCTGTTGTTGTGTGCAGTCCCCAGTGTAAGCAGACAGCTGGGGAGTCAAAAGCAAGATGGGAGGCATTGTTCTATTATCAAGACCTAGAAAAAGAAACGGGCATGTCTTATGCCAATGAGAACTTGGGAAATCTTTCTCTTGGGATATCAGTAACCTATGAGTCAGACTTTAAAGTAGGCCTCCTTTTGGTTCTGCTCTGGTATTGCTGATGCCTTCAGATGGAAGTTTTCCTGTAGGTGCAAATCTAGACTCAGTGCATATGTGAAGGAAAGTGAAAGAAAAGAACCAAGAGCTTTCAGACTATAATGTGAAAGTAATGACCTCTTATTTTAATGTGGGTCTTACTATATCCTTCATTCTTCTTCATCCTAAGACTGTCATTCTCCAGTCTTTGCTTGTGCTCTAAAAGCTGATGCCATACCTGCAGAAAGAAAGATGACACCATCCTTTTGACCTGGAAAAGGGTGAAGATCATCCACTTGGCTTTGTATACTTTTTTTCTGGAGCAAGCAGAAAGGTCCCATAACATTCATGGTTCAGAAGAAGAGAGGTGTAGAATTGCCCGCAGATCCATAGTGTGAAAGGTACATAAATCTGCAAATACAGGGGAATTCAGTGAACAAGCAAATCCCTTTCTCTGAATGCTAATTCTGTACTGCAGAAGCTTGGGTTGCCTTTCTAGAATGTCTCAGATACTTGGTAGGCCAGTAAAGATTTGCAATATGTTGTCAGCTGAAATCTGAGTCTCATAAAACATGTCATTTAGTATGCATTGGCACTATCTTTAGGTTCCCAAAACATTCATTAATGAAATATCTGTTCCTATGAGAATCAAATGTTATTTTTACCTTCTCTATAATCATCCTCACTTGAGGCCAGTTTTTTAAGTCATGTGGTCTTTGTTGTAACCCAAGTCACCGTGTGCATGCAAACCTGGTGCTTACATACAGGCATGCTCTTTACAGTTTCACGTGCACCAAACAGAAGCAGTAAATCTGATACAGCTGGGCCTTAACGGGCATTGAGCACTGTCCTCCACGGCATTCCCATGGACACAGTGAGAAAATCTGTTCTAGTTAAAGAGTACCCTAAGGTGATCTGAATAACTTGTTGAAGAGCTGTACTGAACGATAAGGTGTGAGAGTAGATCACTGCTGGCTTGCAGAGTGAGGTTCTGCAAGGATGAGTCCTGAGCCCAGTACTGATCAACATAGTCATTAGTAAACTGGCAGTAGCATGTCTGAAGTATGATAGATGGAGCAAGATTGCACACTCAAAAACATGAAGCTGAATGTTTGTAGAATGCTGTCTGAAGACTTTTTTTAAGAGCAGAAAAATGCTCTACACAAACTCGAGCCTGCTTTTGTGTAGATCTTCTGATATAGTTTTGATTCCTTTTTGTTCAGTGATTGCATGAACACACTTTTATATTTGGGAAAATCTGCCCACTGGTGAACATGTCACTTTGTAGGACTTGAAATAGTAAAAGATTCCCAGACTATCCTGAAATGAGTTAGTTTTGATACCCAGGAGTTATTTCATGGCAACATAGCATAAAGATAGTTTCTCATGAGCTGGTGGCAGAGGAGCTGGAAGGGAATGGAGAATCTGAGCCTGTTACAGTAAATCCACATGAAAGAACATGATAAAATGGACAAAGAAAAGGAACTATTCTAAAATAAAAGTAATTGTGTTCCTAAATAAATTCCAGTAGTCATGTGAGAGAGTCCATGTGAGTCATAGGGCAAATCTTTGCACTCTGTATGGCCCAGAAGTGACCCCTCTTTGCTGAGGTGATGAATTTGGAGACTTTGATACCTCTCCACAAAGATCTGCAGACAACTTATAAAGTCAGGTCAGAGAAGAAAGAAAATGAATAGCCCATTTAGTTGTCACAAATGTAAATAACTGCATTATTATTTCACTCCTAAATTTGAAAGTCTTGGTAA